CTACGCAAGCTGCAAGATGGATCTTTCATTTACTTACTCTTATATGTGGATGACATGTTGGTTGCATCAAAGAGCCAAGTGGAGATTGATAATTTGAAGGCTCAGTTGAATCAAGAGTTTGAAATGGAAGGCTTAGGGGAAGCTAAGAAAATACTCGGGATGGAGATAAACAGAGACAGAATGAGAGGCAAGCTTTGTTTGACTCAGAAGCAATATCTAAATAAGGTACTACAGCGTTTCGGCATAAAAGATTAGTCGAAGCCTGTAAGTACACCACTTTCCCCACATTTTAAGTTGAGTGCCCAGTTATCTCTAAATTCTGATGAAGAACGAGAGTACATGGCTAGAGTCCCATATCCAAATGCAGTTCGCAGTTTGATGTATGTGATGGTGTGTACAAGGCCCGACATTTCACAAGTCGTCGGTGTTGTTAGTAGGTATATGCATGACCTTGGTAAAGGTCATTGGAAAGCTGTGAAATGGATTCTACAGTACATTCATAGTACTATAGTCATTGGATTAGTTTGTGAGTATGATGAATTTGGTCAGTGTGTGGTTGGATATTGTGATTCTGACTATGCGGGTGATTTGGATAAGCGAAGATCAACGACTGGATATTTGTTCACGTTTGCAAAAGCTCCAGTCAGTTAAAAGTCTACCTTACAGTCAACGATTGTTTTGTGTACAACAGAGGCAGAGTATATTGCGGTTACTAAAGCTGTGAAGGAGGCTATTTGGCTTCAACTTTTGCTTGAAGACTTGTGAGTTGGTCAAAAGCACGTCTTAGTGCATTGTGACAGTCAGAGCGCTATCCACTTAACGAAAAATAAGTATTTCACGCAAAAACGAAGCATATTGATGTTCGCTATCACTTTGTGCGGCAGATTCTAGAAGATGCAACCGTTTTTTTTTTTTTTTTTAAGAAGATCAAGACGACGAAGAATCCTGCAGATATGATGACCAAGGTAGTGACAGCAGTCAAGTTTGAACATTGTTTAGACTTGACCAACATTTTGCATATACTTGGCGCCAAGAGGCGCATTTGGAGGCACCGCCAGCAGTTGAGTTGGATTGAAGAGTCGGAGTGGGAGCAAATTAGTCAAGGTGAAGAATTGTTAGATTTTGACTTAACTGTTGTCCCACACCGGATGTATACCAAAGATGTGTAGGATCTTTTTAGTATAAATATGTCCTTTGCCTTTGGGTTACAATTGCACCTTATTCTATTCTATCATCTCTTAGTAGGAAATCTTTAATTAAGAAAATTCTAATTTGTGGGTTATTTAACCCTAGTTGTATTTTGTTGGTGAGTTTCGTAAATTTGGCGTTGCGGTTGGCGGTGCCCGGAGACGTAGGCTATTTTCGCCGAACTCCGTTATCAATTTTTGTGTTCTTTTTATTTCTCGTCTTTTTTTTATATGTGTTGGCTTATTTCGTTTCGAGTAGTGCTTGCCATATTTCTTGGAGGGGTAGTTTTGTCCGCTGCTCTTGTTGTGCTACCCCAAAATAGATGCCATGAGGTAGGCTGACTAAAAATTGGACTTTTGGAACTAGATTGTTAAGGATTTAAAAGAATGAGTTAGGGAAGTTCAAATTCTGAAATATTTCAATATGACTTGTTAAATAATGATATAGTGTTGTAGTAGGTTTTTAGAAATTTTGGAGGCCATTTGGTATGTGAACTGAAATAAGGCTTAGATTATGTTAATTTCTGAAGTACGAGTTAAAGTTTGAGGAATGCTGTGATATTTTAGAGGTCATATGATTAGTTAACTAAAAATAGAGTTTTTAACCTAGTTTGGCAATTTATTAGAAAAAAAAAAGTTAGAGGAGTCTACCGACTGAGATACTTGGCAAAAAATCCTAAATTAATATGTTGAGGTTGTACTCAAGTTTTTTGAATTTTTGAGGATCATTTGGTGTATGAACTAAAAATTGAGGTTAAGGCATAGATTTACAAAATTTAAAATGAGTAAGTTAGAGTGGGAATACTGTTGTGACATTTAGCCTGAAATTCTTAGATAATGTGATGTACTTGATGCTGAAGTTTCATGATTTTTAGAGTTGGTTTGATATGAGAACTAAAATGGGGGTAAAACGACTTAAAACGGTCATATTAAGATATGTTAGAGTTGAGAATAGGCTGAGATATTTTACCCAATATTCCTTGATATTGTTATAAGGCTGTGTGTAAAAGTTGAGGATTTTTGGAGTAGGTGTCAAAAATCGATGTTTTAATCTAAGCCGATAATTTCAAAAGCTATGATATGGATGATTTATTGCTAATTATTGCATGCCTAAAATTCTTATATATTATGGTGAGTTTATGGCTGAAAGTTTAGGCAAAAATAGGTTAAATAACTATGTGAACTAGAACCCTAGTTTAGTGCAATTTTAAGTTGTCGAGTGAATTTGAGACTTATGAATATACTATCGAGGCATTATTAGATATGCGAAATGAATCGACCGCGCTAGAATTAATTTTTCCGACTTTAGATATTTTAGTCAAAGATTTTCAGACGAGTTTGAAAAAAGATTAAGAAATAAAGGAAATTAATAAATTTCGAAAGAGAAACCTGAAGAGTTAATCAAGAAATTAATTAACCGAACAAAGTAATTTATCTTACTAAGGAAATATATCAAAGGTAGATAAGAAAATAAGATTTAAAAATAAGTTAAGTCAAGCGAGTCGACGGTCTAGTTCCGAACCAGTCCAGGCCAATCTCCGAGGTTTCGGTTCGAGCGTGAACCGAGACTTTCTAAGTTCCGAACCGAGTCAGTTGAGTTAATTCAGAAACATAGTTTCAGACTTTTGAAAATTTATCCGAGAACCTTAGTCAACATATAATTAAATTATTTGGGCTTATTAAATAAATTATTCTCAGCAAGCCAATAAAAGATGGCAAAAGAATAAGTTAAGAAATAAGAGAAGTTAAGTAAAAACCGAACAAACAGGCAAGTTAAGTAAGAAATGAAAGCTATGTAAGAAAGAGAAAAGCAAAGAACAAGTAAAGAATAAGTTTACTAGTTAAGCAAAAATACTTAGAAAATATTTGCTTAAATTTTTGTAGCTTAAGGAGAGTCGAGCCTCCGCCAGCTACGAGCATTCCAACACTTGTATTATCAGCCTGATCAGGTGGGGACTCTGTACTGGGTATTACATCGTCTATAATTACGTTACCATGTCTGAGGTATGTGTGTGAGTATTTCCCCTAGCATGGGAAAGTTAGATCGCCTGGAGGGAGGCTCAGTGACCTTAATCCATGTTCTGATGGTGCTCAGTGAGCTTTATATTATCCCATCAGAGCGTGCACATGATTACCGGCCAATTGACTGGGAGATAATCAAAGTTCAGTTAGATGCATATGTGCCAATTTCATGATATTGTTATTATCGTTGCTGTTTATTCAGTGCCGATTTCTGCAGAGCATACGCCCCCACTCTTTAATTTTTTTAGGTAACGGAGTCCAGCGTGGTGCGGATGTGAGCTAGGTGGTGGTGGTCTAGTAATAAGCATGTTTTGCAAAACAACTATTAATCCAATTTTCAAAACGCAAGATAGTAAGTAAAGTAACATCCCGCGAGTAAGTTAAAGAGTTTTCAAAAAGTTTAAGCAATATTTTCGGAAATAAAACGCAAAAATTTTACTCTCATTTTCATAAGTTCAGTAGTAGCTAAGCGGGGTGTTACAGTTTGGATATGCATGTTTTATATATTTTTGCACAAATTAAATTAATGTAGAATTTTCAATAAGTTAATGTAGCAAAATTGTATTACGTAATATTAACTTAATGTTTTTAATTTATAAATATTATTTAATATTATATCCTCGTGTATTAGTAAATTTTAAAGTGGTTTTAGCCATAAAAACTATTCTAGATAAGGCGGATTTTGAATTGTTGAGAACGTGTTTGTATAAAAAGAATCTGCTCAAAATGAGTTTGTTTGGTTAACTATATTTAATTTTGAAAGAAAAAATGATATGGTTAGTTGTTATTTAAATTGTGATATTATATTAAAATAAAATAATTAAAATTGATTTGAAGTAAAGTAGAAAAGAGATAGTGTGGAGTGATTGAAATTTTTCATAGCCTTTTTTATTATTCTTTTTCAACAAGGAAAAGGAAAACCGGGACGCACGAAGCTCAATAAGACTCGGAAAAAGGAAGCAGATCTAATGCTCAAACCTCTCCATATATATAGGATTTACTATTTCCAGATATATTATATTAACAGTCTTATTGAAAATATTGGGTTGTGTCTTTCTTATCTCTCTTACTTTTCTGTTATTTTCCAAGAGATCCTTCGCAGCCATGTGCAAATTCTGTCTCTGAAGATTTTGAGTTTCACCTTGCATGTGGATTAAATTTAATTTTGCTTCCTTCATCTGTATAGCAGTGAAGACTGTGAAAGATCACTTCTTTAGTAATTCGGGGCTTTTTCTGCGCCATCAATCAGGTTGGTTGTTGACCCTTTACTGAATCGATTTATTTATTTTTCATGGTATTGTCTACGGAAATTGGATAATTTGTTTTTGGGTTTAACTTATTCTATGGTTTGTTGTCAATTATCATGAAAGGATTTCTCGTCTCTGTTCCATTGTTGTTTTAATTTGTTCTTCTTCACCTCTCTTTGTTCAATTATTGGTTGATCAATTATTGGTTGGACCCATTATTTGCTCAGTCTCATGATAAAAAATTGATTCTTGATTGAATGGATGAGTAAAGAAGTTCTCTTTGCATTCCTATGTGTGTGAAAGTGGGAATATTCTGAATTGGATGAGTAAAGAAGTTCTGTTTGCATTCCTATGTGTGTAAAAGTGGGAATATTCTAAATTTCTGTAATCAATTTCAAGGTTTTCATTTCTATTATTTTTCAATCTTTGGATGCAGTTTGTTGACATCTTTGTTAACTCAGGAAGTTTTGATTTTTTGGGTCTGCTAAACAAAACTTGGGTGAGTTGTCAATCTCATCAATTTCTATAGGGTTCTGAACTGGAAATGAAGAACGTTTTACGGGCTGTGAGGCAGTTTAGATCAGCACTTCGGTGTCGAGGGCACATCCAATCTAATGGCTTTACACAAAGACGAGAGTTTTGGTTAAATAAAACCCACTGCTCCATATACAACATATCCAACAGTACAGACTTTTATCATCAAAGACATCTATCACAAATTATTCACCGAGCTATTTCAACTGATGCAGCTAAAGTTGCCAATGCAGGTTCTGTTATCATTTAGAAATTCAGTTTTGGAGCTGATATTTGGAAGTAAAGTTTCACATGTTTGATACTGTTTGCACTTGATTTAAATTGATGACAGAGCTCAACGGTGGAGGACCTCTTATTGAATATGAACGAAGGGTGGCTGCTGGTGAACTTTTAGATGGAGATGCCTGCCAGGTAAGTTACTTTTTACGTCATAGTTACAATTAACACCTCTGATGTTTAGCCTAAAGGTAAAATGATCGAGATGTATTAATATTACAATTAACCTCAGTCCTCAGATATTTGGTCATGTGTCACAGTGTGCATCTCTGAAAGGGTGAAGTTACCTCTAAGAGGTTGTTTATGGTATGATTGGATATAAATTCATCTAGTAAGAAATCAATCAAAACTCAAATTTAACTCAACTCCATTATCCTCAATTTGATCCATATAACTAAATAATATTAATCAATCATCCTTACACATCACATCAACTTTGTTTCACTATTCATCCACTCACATAGTTTTAACTAATCCTCACTTCATATCATCTCTCTCCTACTTTTAAATCAAATCAACTTTAAATATTTTATTTCAAATATTATTTTAATATAAACTCAAACTCCCACTAACAACTAACTATACCAACATTTTCAAAATTAACTATGATTAACAAAAAAACCAATAAAAAATCAATCACATTCATATCCAATCACACCCTTTACTTCTAGAGATAACTTTTGTGTTCCCTTATTTAGTCTGATAACTGGACTAGAACTTGTGGATAGGTTTTGTAACTATCAATATTTGATGTTGAAAGTTTTCACTTCTAGTTTTTAGATGCAGAAGTTTCTGTTTTTGTTGTCCCAAGTATAATAGTATGTGATACGCCATAAATATGGAGTACATTATAGTCATTGGTGACTGTGTCATATTATAATGATATTGAATTTTAGAAAGCAAATGGTAATGGGAACCATGTATATCCTTCTGTTGGTTGGTTGCTATATTTCAATACAAGATTTATGAATTATGAAAATTGGCAGCTAGGTACCTTGGGGGAGCTTCAAAGATTATATGACGAGCTTGTTGAAAATGCAGAAGCTTGCCGTTTGGATCGGTATGCTGCAAACGAGAAAGCTGGGAGGTACATATTAATTAGTGCTCTGTTATAATCATCATCATCATTATAGCCTGAATAATATTTTCCTTTGCATGGCTTTTTAATTTTTATAATGGATTTTTCGCTGATATTCAGGAGTAGGTGGTTATGGTCTCGTTTCATACCACAAAGTTCATATGCACCTGTTAAAGGGCTTTATCTGTATGGTGGAGTAGGAACCGGAAAGACTATGCTGATGGACTTGTTTTTTTATCAACTGTAAGTACCAAATTGTCGTAACATCACAATTTTGTTTGTGCCATGTTATTTATGATATGCATTTTGTATTTTCAGACCTTACAACTGGAGGAAGAAGAGAATCCATTTCCACGACTTTATGCTAAATGTACACAGCCGTTTACAAGTATGTATGCTCATCAATTATTCTATCTTGAAATTGCATTTATGTTTTTATTTTCTACTTTTTTTTTTCCATTCTTTCTTTCATTATTTTGTTTTGTGTAAGCTCTGAATATTGCAGCATAATATACTGAACCTCAGCTTTTAAGCTACTAAAACTTTTGTATAGCATTAAGACACTGCTTTTGTTTCTCATTGCTCTCTTCTTTTTTGGATATCATATTTTTACTCCATCATGATATTTTGCTTTGAGGTGATTTTTAACTAAAAACTAAATAGTCTGATGTTGTAGCCATTTTCCGAGGGAGTGTAGCATGGATTAGTTTCATATTTGAGGTCTGCAACTAGAATTTGGGAGCTAAATTTGCTCTGATTGGTTTTCCACTTGTTTTTGTCTTGTATAATCTACTTCTTCGAATAACCTAAGATACAAGTTCATTGAAGAAAATTTATAAAGTAGCAGGATTTTATTTCATGATTGTTCTAGAATATTTGTGAAGATCACAATCTTAGGATTGTCAAGCTCTATAACTGCAGTGACTTGAGGATCTTGATGAACTTAGTAATCTGATGTTGCAAGGGTCTTATGCTTTCTGAAGATATTGAGGTTTTTGTGGTTCTATTTGTTTAGTTATGGTGGTAACGATAGTTATGCTAGTTTATCTGCTGCCGGGCCATGAAAGGGCCAACATATAATGCTGTGTTGGGAAATTGTCAATTTTCTGATTGGTTTGCAAGATCAAGTAGTGATAATATATATATTTTTTTTCAGTTCCGTAAATAGTTGAATAGTAACTAAACTAATGCTCTAATCATTACTGTAACTAGTTTCTTGAACCGGAACATTGGCATTATGGTGGGATGCAGGAAGTTCTTAAAGATAAGGACAGAAAGATAATGAATAAATAAACAAAAGCAAAGGAAGGTTATGTTTGAGTCTCACTTAAAGATATAAATATTATTTAAAAATAAAACAATACTTGCAGGATAAGTGTTAACACTGAAAATTCTTTTACAATTATGTTTAACTTGCAAGTAGAGGTGGACATTTTTGCTGTCTATACATGCACTGGGTGAATAGATTTATGTGGAACAGAGATTAGTACACATGAATATAAGTGTTTGCAATGTGAGGTAATGTGGAATAGCATTAATATCTTCAAATTCACACAGCTTGGAGAATACTGTAGAAGTGATTAAAAAATATTCATGCAAGAAAGAAATCATTCGTTTTAAATATTCTATGATACCTTTTTATATTATTTTTCCTTCTGGTGTTGCAGTATAATGCCAGGGTTGTAATGTATATGGCCACATAAATATGTATTTAAGAGTACCATAAGCATTCTGCTTGTATAATAAAGAAAGTTATTTCTTTTTTTGTTTGCATATATTTCTCCACACATTGTTTATTGGAAAGATCTCGAGTACTTCATATTATTTTGAATTTTTTTTTTGGACAAATCAGAGTAAAGATTTTTTTATCCTGATGAAAACTAACCCACCTTAATTAATATTTAATTTCAGAAGCACAAGGGAGTATCAGATCCTTTAGAAGTTGTTGCTGGTGAACTTTCAGATGAAGCTATATTGTTATGCCTCGACGAGTTCATGGTATGTCTAACTGATCTAGAATCTGTATTTTACTAGAGTGAAACATTATTTTATATTTTTCATTTTCTTCCTTTAGGTGACAGATGTTGCAGACGCCTTAATTCTTAACCGTTTATTTAGACATTTATTCAGCAATGGAGCAGTGAGTAACTTTACATCCCTAATATTTTTCATGTTTACAGATTAACTGGTCTTAGTATGTTGAGCATCTTAATAACTGATAATTTGTAATATATAAAATAGATTCTTGTTGCTACTTCAAACCGAGCCCCAGATAACCTTTATGAAGGGGGACTCCAAAGGGATCTATTTCTTCCGTTTATTGCCACTCTAAAGGTATGTGTTTGTCCCCACATTATGCAAAACAGTAGATGAATCATCAGTGTTTCCTTTTGAGCATTTTCTGTTTATTAAAAAAGTTCCAATCCAAGCAACCTAAAATTTAACTATCTGATTTGATGTAGGAAAGATGTGTGGTTCATGAAATCGGCTCATCTGTGGATTACCGAAAAATGACATCGGTAGATATATTGTTAACTACTCGACCTTCTTATAT